GCCGCTATCGGCGGCAGCCGTCCAGGCATAGCAGGTGTGGCACTTTCTCGACACCATAGGGGGTGCGCAGGGGGTGGTTCCTTGAGCGCGGCCGCTATCCGTGCCAACCCGTCCAGGCATAACAGGCGTGGCATTTTCTCGACACCATAAGGGAGCGCGGCCGCTATCCGTGCCAGTCGTCCAGGCATAGCAGGCGTGGCACTTTCTCGACACCATAGGGGGTGCGCAGGTGGTGGTCTCCCTACCCGTGCCGGTCGCCCAGGGCATAACAGGCGTGGCATTTTCTCGACACCATAGGGGGTGCGCAGGGGGTGGTCTCCCTATCCGTGCCGGTCGTCCAGGGCATAGCACGCGTGGCACTTTCTTGACACCATAGGGGGTGCGCAGGGGGTGGTCTCCCTATCCGTGCTGGTCGTCCAGGGCATAGCAGGCGTGGCACTTTCTCGACACCATAGGGAGTGCGCAGGGGGTGGTCTCCCTATCCGTGCCGGTCGTCCAGGGCATAGCAGGCGTGGCACTTTCTCGACACCATAGGGGGTGCGCAGGAGGTGGTCTCCCTATCCGTGCCGGTCGTCCATGGCATAGCAAGCGTGGCCCTTTCTCGACACCATAGGGAGTGCGCAGGGGGTGGTCTCCCTATCCGTGCCGGTCGTCCAGGGCATAGCAGGCGTGGCACTTTCTCGACACCATAGGGGGTGCGCAGGGGGTGGTCTCTCACCGCGGCCGCTATCCGTGACGGTCGTCCAGGGCACAGCAGGCATGGCATATTCTCGACACCATAGGGGGTGCGCAGGGGGTGGTCTCTCACCGCGGCCGCTATCCGTGACGGTCGTCCAGGGCACAGCAGGCATGGCATATTCTCGACACCATAGGGGGTGCTCAGGGGGTGGTCTCTCACCGCGGCCGCTATCCGTGCGGTCGTCCAGGGCACAGCAGGCATGGCATATTCTCGACACCATAGGGGGTGCGCAGGGGGTGGTCTCTCACCGCGGCCGCTATCCGTGACGGTCGTCCAGGGCACAGCAGGCATGGCATATTCTCGACACCATAGGGGGTGCGCAGGGGGTGGTCTCTCACCGCGGCCGCTATCCGTGACGGTCGTCCAGGGCACAGCAGGCATGGCATATTCTCGACACCGTAGGGGGTGCGCAGGGGGTGGTCTCTCACCGCGGCCGCTATCCGTGACGGTCGTCCAGGGCACAGCAGGCATGGCATATTCTCGACACCATAGGGGGTGCGCAGGGGGTGGTCTCTTACAGCAGGCGGCCGCGCAGGGGGTGGTCTCTTACCGCGGCCGCTATCCGTGCCGGTCGTGCAGGACACAGCAGGCATGGCATATTCTCGACACCGTAGGGGGTGCGCAGGGGTTGGTCTCTCACCGCGGCCGCTATCCGTGCCGGTCGTCCAGGGCACAGCAGGCGTGTTACTTTCTCGAAACCATAGGGGGTGCGCAGGGGGTGGTCCCTCACCGCGGCCGCTATCCGTGACGGTCGTCCAGGGCACAGCAGTCATGGCATAGTCTCGACACCAGAAGGGGTGCGCAGGGGGTGGTCTCTCACCGCGGCCGCTATCCGTGACGGGCGTCCAGGGTCCAACATCATTCTCACATGCTTCACTTCAGCCCTCATCACTCCAGCCATCATATAACTATGTGGGGTTCCTCGGTCGCGTAATTTTGGGGGTGTTATTTTATGTTTCGTCGGAAATCCCCCTGTAGGGGGACAGGCCCGACTTGAGCCAAGCCCTGGCTCGCAGAACTGGAGCCCAAGCCCAAGCCCCGCGGGGCCCCTGGCATTGGCCGCTGCGAGGAAATCGCACCGCGGAGAATCGCGCCCGAAATCCTAGACCCCATCCTTCTGCGTCATGTTTCGAGCCCGAGCGAGGTGTGAGGGTCCCAGGGCCCGGAGCCGGGCGAAACTGCCCGGTGTGAACAAAAGTGCAACGCCCGGATCTCGGGAGGCGGTGCCGAATGGGCAGGTCTGCGGCCACACCCGGCTGGTGTATCTGGTCGGGTTGCGCCCATGTGAGGGCGAAGCCACCAGGGCCTCTGGCAACTCGCAAGACTCGCGCCTGTTGTTTTTTGTGTTGATTGGCATCGCTCGACCGTGTGCTTTTTTCTTCGGGGAGGACCGGCGAGTAGCATCGAGCGATGGCAAGTTTGGCAACCCCGGGGTGGGTCGAAATGGGCTCGTGGTGAAGTCTGGCTTGTTTTGGCCACGCCGGGGGTTATTGAGAGAAGCAGCCTCCTTCCAAGATGTGTTCCCCCCTGCCCCTACCCTGTTGTGCGCGCCGCGAAGAGCAGGTCGGCAGGCAAGGTAAAGGGCACCCTTCGAGTAGGGGATCGACGACAGAATTGATGCACTCCAGAAATGTTTTCCTGGTTGAGTGTACGACTAATGCGTAAGATGTTCGTAGATATACGAGCACTCCACGTCTATAACTTTTAGAGTCGACGAAGAACAGTTTTGGGAGAACTCAATTCTGCAGTCGACCCCCTACTGAACCCTGATGCTCCATCAATCCCTTCTCATGACCTCTTTGCACTCTGCCAGGCAAGGGTGCGATCTGCAGTCGCCCTCGGACGAGTTTTGTACCCCTTGGGCATCTTGGAAGTCCTCGGCCATGGGCAACAAGGCGTCCGTGAGGGGTGGACTGAGGCCAAGGCAAGTCGCGGACCAGCATGAGGGGACGTCCTGCTTCCGCGGCGGGGATTTGTACCACCGCCTGGGGGATCGGTCTTCGGGGACCTCGGCAGGCGGTGGATGTGGAGAGATGCAGGCCTTGAGGGGATCACATGCGTAATTGACGTACCCCAAAATTCGCTTTTCTGTCGAATCTACGACAGAAGTCGCAGGATGTCCGAATATGTACGAGCATTCTACGTTTATTAGGTTCAGACTCGACGAACAAACAACAATGTTGGGGGTAACTCAAACCGGGCCCTGAGGGGATCAAATGCATCCACATCCACTGCCTGCCGAGGTCCCCGAAGACCGATCCCCCAGGCGGTGGTCATGGACAAATCCCCGCCTCGGAAACAGGACGCCCCCTCGTACTGGCCCACGACTTGCCTTGGCCTCGGCCCACCCCTCACGGACACCTTGTGGGCCCCAAAGCCGAGCACAGCCAAGAGGCCAAGGAAGGCAGAAGGCTCGTCCGAGGGCGACTGCAGATGGCACCCTTGCCCGGCAGATCCCCGCGAGGGCCGAGCGTGCTCCGCTGCTCGTGTCCCGCGAGAAAGTTCCCGGGTCCACCGTAGGGGCGCGAAGGTGCAGCGCAGGCCGTTTGGGACACTGGCAGTTGGCCTTCGGCCATCGTCGCCCCGGCTGGACGCAGCTAGGAAGATCGGTGCACCTGGGCCCCAGGATGGGGTTGTGGGACCGATGGCGAGCCGATCTCGAGTTTCCAGAGTCGCAGCTCGCCCTTCTCCGAAGCTTGCGCTGGAGAGTTGAGCACTTCTCCATGGGGGCCGCGCAGGAGATTGAGAGAGAGAGAGAGAGAACAGATGATCGAGGATGTCATTTTCGCTGGCTGGTTTTCCGCACCCGCATGGATTAATAAGAGACGGTGGCCTCGGGGGCGCGCTTCCATAGTAAACTACGAGGGCTCGTCGTGGGTTCGGGAGCTCACATCCACGCCTATTTTAGCGGATTCGAGGTCTCGGGTCCAGGGCACAATTTTCAGGAAGTGACCTGGGGGGGAAGCGCGCCCCGAACGCGTACACCAACACAGAACGTTTCAATTGTTGTTCCTGTAGAGTGGGGGCGGTTTGTGGCAACTTCCGTGGGGTGTGTGCGTGGCCGCGGGATTACGTGATTAGAAATACTTCAGATTATGTGATGGCTTCGGAAGCGCGAAAGTTCATACATTTGCAAGGTACTGTTGCCTCGGGAGCGCGAGCGCGTCGTAACTTACAATGGGCTGTGGCATCGGGAGTGCGATCGCGCTATAAGTTACTAGGGTTTGTGGCCTTGGGTGCGCGAGAGTCTTTCTGGAGTTCACAAGGGGCTTGTGGATAGGGAGCGCGAATTCGACGTAAGTAGTCTGCAACGGGTTGCAGCCTCGGGAGCGCGAGTACAGTGCAGAGCAGAAGCCCTGCGCCGACCGAGGCGTCGGCAGGACAAGTCACGCGCGAACGCTCGGACTCGCTTTCGCGGGCCTGCGGAGGAGGAGGGGGAGGAGGAGGAGGAGGGGGACGGAAGCAAGAACGAGGAGGAGGAGGAGGAGGAGGAGGGGGAGGAGGAGGAGGGGGGAGGAGGGGGAGGAGGAGGAGGAGGGCGGCCTTGAGGGCTGCGGGACGGGAACAAGAACGAGGAGGAGGAGGAGGAGGAGGAGGAGGGAGGAGACGGGGGCACGGCATAGTCAAACGCACCCGGGCGTTGGCCGACACCATCGGTAAGCTCAAGCCGAGCTGGCATGCCGTGGGCGGCGCTCCGTGCGGGGAGCGTTCGCCGATGTCGGCCAGGTCCGGGGCTCCGCGGGGGGGGCCCAAGGGGCGGCGACGAGGGCGAGGGCCTCGACGGAGGGCCTCCTCCTCCTCGTCCGCCTCCTCCGCCTCCTCCTCCTCCGCCTCCTCTTCCTCCTCCTCCTCCTCCTCCTCCTCCTCCTCCTCCTCCTCCTCCTCCTCCTCCTCCTCTCCCTCCTCCTCTTAGTGCGAGTCCCGTAGCCATTTTGGCTCAAGTCCGTCCCCTCCGTGGGATCTCGGACTTGGGCCGAAATGACTTCCACAGCTGTCTCGCCCAAGGCCTCCTGGCTGAGCGCCGCGCCGCCCGCGGCCGTGGGCCGCGCCTCCATATGTCCATGTTCGCGCACGCTCGGGTGATCCCGATCGGCCTGCCGCTGCTGCCGCTGTTCGCGCTGCTCTCGCTGCACTGGTCCTGCTGTGATGCCCCACTGCCGATCGCAGGCCGAGGCTCACGCTCGCCAATGCCGTGCGATGCAGCTGGGATGCAGCCGTCGCCCCCACCGCGTGCATCTTCGGCTTCACGATCTACTTCCACATGCTTGTGCTCGGCCGTGCACTCGGCTCCCGATCGCCCCGTTGGGGATCTGCTCGGGCGACAACCTGCACCGCGTCGCCCACTTCATCCAACAGCTTCAAGCACCCGCCGCCGCCGATGGTGGCGCCCGAATTCTACAAGCTGGAGCTGCCGATGGTGCTGCCGACGCCCTGGCTGCCCCTGTTCTGCATGAGCTACCCATCGACACAGATACTGCTGCTAACGACGACGTTCTGCATGTGCTTCCTGTTCGCGGATCTGACGTCCGATCCGAAGGTGACGCTCGCTATTGCTTCGTGGAGCTCCTGATGCGGACGCGGAGGATCACTGCCGACTCTACGTTCGAGCAGGCCAGCATGTTCATGCGCCGCAAGCCCTCCTGGCATTCAGTGCACCTTCATCTTCGCCGCCAGCCATTCGACACATTTGTGGCCCTGCTTGCTGCACATGCTGCGCGTGATGACCCTCCTGCCGCCGCTGCCGCTGACGGTGGCGTTCGTCGTTGTGAAGCCCCTCCCCCTAAACATGTTCGTGTTGAGCCTCGTGCTGATGCTGTCGCCGTCGGTGGCGACCACCATCATGCAGAACTCCCTGAACACGTTCATGATGTGCATCGTTCTGCCGCTGCTGCCGATGGTGGCGACCCTCTGCACGGAGCACCTCTGCCTGAACCCGTTCGTGATGAGCCTCGTGCCGCTGCTGCCGCCGACGGTGGCGACCATCCTCCTCAAGAACTTCTGCCCGAACATGCTCCTGATGCGCCTCGGGTGGATGCTGCCGCCGATGGTGGCGACCACCAGCATGAAGAATTTCTGCATGAACCCGTTCACGATGAGCACGACGATACATGGGAGGCCTCAACGTGCGACTCGGGGGAGTTCGCATATTCCAGTGGCCTCGTCGTGGCCGCTCCTCCTGTCGCTGCGGCCGACGGTGGCGCTCATCTGCAAGATGTGCCGCTGCCTGAGCCCGCTCGTGGTGTGCATCGTGCTGCCGCTGACGCTGACGGTGGCGGCCATATGCCTCAAGAGCTCCTGCCTGAGCCCGCTCGTGATGAGCTTTCTGCAGCAGCTGCCGCCGCCGGTGGCAACCATCTGCTTCCAGAACGCATGCCTGAACCCGCTCGCGGTGAACTTCGTGTCGACGCTGCCGCTGCTGAAGGCGACCATTTGCGTCAAGAGCTCCAGCATGAACCTCGTCGTGACGTCCATCGTGCTGCCGCTGTCCCCGACGGGCTTCTGCATGAACCTGATCGTGATGACCTTCGTGCTGCCGCTGCCCTCGACGGTGGCGAACATCTGCGCGAAGAACGTCGTCCTGAACACGCTCGCGTGGAGCCGCTGGCAGCCGCCGCCGCCGATGGTGGCGACCATCTGCCTCAAGAGCGCCTCCCTGCCCATCTACACGAAGATCTTCTGCATGCCCGCCCAGAGTGGGCTGTCCCTGGTGCTCCGTTCTTGCTACGATCGGACATCATCCAGCTCAGTGGATGCAGCTGGTCGCACCGCGGTCTCGCAGACGAGCTGGTATGCACCGCCGCGGAGCTCCAGGCTGCCGCCGACGGTGGCGACCACCAGTATGAAGAACTACTGCCTGAACCCGTTCATGATGAGGCCGACAGTGGCGATCATCTGCAAGATGTGCCTCTGCCTGAGCCCGCTCGTGGTGTGCATCGTGCTGCCGCTGACGCTGACGGTGGCGATCATCTGCTTCAAGAGCTTCTGCCTGAGCTCGTTCGCGACGAGCTGCCTGCTGCCGCTGCTGCCGCCGGTGGCAACCACCTTCTTCAAGAACTTCTGCCTGAACCCGTTCGTGATGAGCCTCGTGCCGACGCCGCCGCTGCTGGTGGCGACCATCTGCGTCAAGAGCTTCAGCCTGAACCTCATCGCGATGACCATCGCGCTGCCGCCGTCCCCGACGGGCCCCCGCATGAACCTGATCGTGCTGACCGTCGCGCTGCCGCTGCCCCCGACGGTGGCGACCATCTGCATGAAAATCATCGACCTGAATCCGTTCGCGTGGAGCCGCTGGCAGCCGCCGCCGCCGACGGTGGCGACCACGGATGGGCCGCCCCCGGTGCCCCGTGTCCGCGTCGAGCCGATATTCTCCGCCTCCGCTGCTGCAGCGCGGCCCTTGCTGGGCTGGCAGAGTCCCTGGTGGATCCCGACGCCGCCCTCCATGATGCTACACGTTCTGAGGCCCCGCGTGACTGCAGGCCCGTCGGAGTGGCTAGCCCCGCGCCCCCTGTCTCGCTCACCCCGCCTCTTCTGCCTCCCATCCCCGCATTTCCCACATTTCAGCTCGCGCGCGAATACACATCCGCTCTCCGCGCGTCGGGCCCCGCGCCCCCTGCAGCGCGTGGGTTGCCTGTGCGCCTGAGCACCACCGCAGCTCTCGTTTGGAAGTAGAGGGCGGCGGACTCGGGCGGGACATCTTTCCTCTTCTCGTTTCGTGCCCGCTTGCCCTCGTCTCTTCCTCTTTGGGTACTTGCACTCCTCCTCTTAGTGCGAGTAGTCTGCTTATTATCCGTCGTAGTACTATGCTTCATCTTATCCGGAGGGCCTCGACGGCGAAACCTTCGTGGGCGAGGAGAAGAACGCCGAGGGGTTCGGCCTCAAGCTGGTGCCGACCGAGTCCGGCGAGGCCGAGGTGGACCACGTCGGGGGGCGCGCGAGCGGCGGGCGCTGGGCCGGCGCCACGGACGAGGAGGAGGTCTTCGAGGAGCGTCGGGACGCGGTCTTTCGCGCCAGCCGCGCTGCGGCCGAGGCGCGCGGCGCGGCGGAGGCCGCCCGCTCCGCCGAAGATCAGCATCCGGAACGACGTGCTGGCCCTGACGCCGCCGGCCGACTTGGCACCTGCAGAGGCGGCGGCCGCGGGCAGGAGGCAGAAGACCAACGGCAAGGCCAAGAACGGCAAGGGCAAGAACGACGTGCACAGGGAGAGGCTGCTGGACGAAGCCGCCCGCGCGGCTGACGAGGAGCGCGCCAAGCAGCGGCGGAGCTGGCGCCCCGTCATGGCCGCCCACTTCCTCCAGCAGGTCAGAGAGTCCGCGCTGCCCTGCGCGGAGGAGGCTCGCGCGCAGGAAGCGGTCGACGCCCCCCTGGTGGGCGCCGAGGCGACTTGGCTGGCATGCTCGGCTCCGCCGAAGAAGCGCGGTGGCGACGGCCCGCGCGCGCGAGCCGCGGCGGGGGCCCGCGGGCGCCGCGAGCGCAGCGCGGGGCCGCTTGGTGAGCACGGTCGGGGTGGGCCCGCTCGGCCCTGCAACCCCGTCCGCGCTGGCGGATCCGCCTCGGAGTCTGGCGTGGGTTGGCCCCGCGTGGCAGGCCTCCGTCCTCCTGGGGCGCCGTGGCCGCCTGGCCCGAGGGCCTGCGCCCTCCTGAGGTCCTTTTGCGGAGGGACCCGAGGAGGACGCGCTGGCTTCGGGGTCCCGGCCCTCGTCGCCGCTGGGTAAATTGGGAGCATGCGCGGGTCGACGCGCTCTCTCCGACACGCGGCCCTCCTCCTCCTCCTCCTCCTCCTCCTCCTCCTCCTCCTCCTCCTCCTCCTCCTCCTCCTCTGGTTCCTTTGGTTCCGAGGGGGAAAAAAGGGTCAGACTGCTCTGCAATCAAACCTTTTCCCTAACGAGGAATCAAGACTCAGGTTTCAACCCGGGGCCCGCCAGGGAGACAAGGAAAAACACAGAGGCCTGGCGCGGGCTTGGACACCTGAAGTTCAAGACGCGGGAAAAGGGGGGCTTTAGAAAACGCCAGATTGGAGTCCCCGACCTCCACGGAGCTTGTCCAGGGCCCTGCTCGCCAGTCTGGCCGCGTCCCGGCCCTTCCTGGCCAGGGGGATACAGGCCTCTGAAAGGAGCAGGGTTTGTCGCCTCCCGCAGGCCCCGCAGGTCCTTCAAGAGACGACGGCGTCCTCACCCGTCTCATAGGGCCGCCTTCCAAGCCCGCCCCCACCACCCCGACACACTCAACGCTTATGGGACGGGTGGGGCTGGGCTACGGGCCTGGGAAGTCTTGGGCACGGCCTCGAGACTAGCCTGGCCCTATACGCTTTCCGAACACTGCAGACCTCGCACCCCCGGGCTCACCCGAGCCGTTGGGGCCGATGGCCCGCGTCGGGCCTAACCATGGCCAGCCAGGCTGGGAGAGTTTCGGGCCCGCGGGCCAGTGAGCTTCTCCCGTTCGGACCAGGCGGCGTGTTCCATTAGCACTCCGCCGCGGTGGTAAATGGTAGCACCCAAAGGCGGCCCGAAGCGGCTGCCTCACTCCAGCCCGCCCCAGCTCGCGCAGCACGGACTGGCCAGGGTGCAACTTCGCACTTTGGCGCGCCCTTTTGTCCGCCTCCAAGTTGCCTGCGTAGGCCTGGGCAGCAGACGCCAGCGCCTGCTGGCCCCCGCCCAGCTTGCGCGGGCCTTCATCCACCAGAGGCTGATGAACTCGGGCCCGAGGCGAACACCTCTCGCCACAGGTCCGCGTACTTGCGCGTGGCCCCGCAGCAAAGCCCCCTCCACGTTCGCAGTGGTCCACGAGCCCCTGGCAGCCCGCGTGGACCACCACGGGTTCTGGTCCAACATCCTGCAGCAGCCTGCGCAGCGCGCGCAGCTCCGCGCACCCGATCTCTTGGACCCATCCTGGCGCGCAGCCGAACATCCTCTCTAGAAACTGCCCGGCGTCGTCCACCATCGCAGCTGCCCAGCCCGCCCTCGTGGGCCTGGCCTCTGTCGGGCACGCAGCAGATCCGTCGATGCAGACCGCCCAGCCGAAGTAGTCGCTGCGAGCTACTCCTGCTCTGCAGCATGGCTCCCCCATGCTGGGCTGCGGCGCCCTGTCCGGGCCCAGGCCCAGCACTCCTCGCGCCATCCCTCGGTCGTTCTCGCTTGCAGCCCTGCCAGCTTCAGCGACGCTTTGGCAGCCCAGCTCCTCCGCCCAAGTTAGGATGGCAGGGCCGGCGAAGGGGCGGCGGAATGCCGCGCCCCCTCGCGCCCGCGCCATTGGCGCGACGGGCTCGCCCTGCCTTCACTTACTCGATGCCTAGGTGATTAGCCGCCTCCCTCACCTGGCAACGATGCGCCCCCGCCTCGATCAGGCTGGGCACCGCGCGGGGGCTCAGCACCCGCGACTCAATGTCGCGGCCCCGGTTGTCTCCCCATTGGCCCCGCGCGAGCCGCTGCCAGCCGACCCGCGTCAGCGAGAGGGCCATTCTTCCAGCGGGGCCCGCGACCTCTCCCCAGGTGTCCGTCTTCGCCTCCGCGACCATCTTGAACGCCGCCTCTGGCCCGTGCTGGAGGAGGACTGCCTTCGCCCCCGCTCTAGGAGGGAACTCGCGGGCCGCGCGGGCCAGGTCGCGCTTCCGAGCCCTGCCCTCCTGCAGCGCGAACAGCAGCGCGCGCGAGTTCTCGCCGCTCTCTCCCGCCGAGGCTCTGCCTTTCGCCGCTCTGGCCCGCTGGGGGGCCTGGGGCGGCGCGGAGCAGGCCCCCCGTCCAGGGCGGGGCGCTTGAGCCCCCCCGCCCTGAAGACGTTGGACGGCTTCCTAGCCCCCGCCTTCTCGAGGGACATGCGCCGGCCATCTCGCTGCTTCGAGCGGGCAATCCTCTGGCGCGGGACCGCCCAGGGCGCCTTCTTGTCCGTCGCGATGTCCACGCCGAGGTTGTTGGTTGCCTTCTTGCGTCGGAACTGCCGCATTTGCAGCCTCTGCCCCGCCCTGCGCGCAACTTCGCGTTGCACGCCCGGTCAGCCCCCGCGCCCGCGAGCTTCCCCGCCCCATGGGCGCGCCGCCGGCATGGCAAACAAGAACAAATGCCGCGCGCTCGGATTCATTTCGCCCTGGAGCAACGGCGTCTGATGTCCGAGATACGCGCGACCATGGCATCCGAAATATGCATCGGAGACATGCGCCGCGACATGCGTCGAGCCTTGCCCTTCCGGCCTGCAGAATCCAGATTCGATTCAAAAAGCGTTAGAGAGTCTGTTTGCAACGCGCGAAGACTACGTTCGAAGTTCCCTGCGACGCCCTGCGAGCATTGACAGATGCGCGCGGCCCCGGTTGTATACAGCGTTATGTAGATGCCGCTGTTTCCCCCCAGTCGCCCAGATAATTCGCGTCGCGCTCCCCCGTCGCACGAATTTGCTTGCCGCGTTGAAGAGCCTCCTTTGCCAGCTTGATTGCCTCCCCTGTGGGCGCCGTTTTCCCGCGCGTCCAGTTGTCGACAATTTTGATCGTCAGGGTTTGCCCCGCTCCGATTCCAACCCGTACTTCTGCTGTTCTAGGAAGATAGGCCCCAGCACGGCTTGAACATTTGGAGTGCACTTGTGCAATAACAGCGCGTCATCTCTACATGTAGGACCTTCGTGGCCAAGTATAGAGTTGTTGTAGAAGGCGGGGCCCTGCCAGTGCGTTGCGAGGCATAATTCGTAGGACTGCGATGAACGGTGGCTGAGAATGGTCTTCGGCAAGGCTTGCTGCCTCTTTGCGATTAGAAAGCCGGCCGCAACGGTCGACGCTGGAAGAAAGAACTCCGCGCGCAACCAGCCCGCGTCATTTGAACCGCTGTTCTTGGCAGCCGAAAGTGTTCCAAGGCCAAGCGCGGGCCGCCTGACTTCGCCCGCCGAAAGCCGCCGCCAAATCTAACATCAACGGGGCAAGCCCCCGCTGTCGTTCAAGCCCCCCCTGTTGCCCAAGCGCGCTGCGTCGACCTTCCCCCCGAGACCGCCGCGAGGGCGCCCGCAGCGCCGCGCTGCGGCTGGAGCCAAATTCAGGGCTTGATTTTATTTCCGGACCCTCCTGGGAGCAACGCGTCGCGGATCGTAGCCGACAGCCAAGGACAAGATTGATGTGTAGATGTTCGGGGCAGTAGCGCCGCCCTTCCGGGAACAGAATCACATTCGCGCTTCCCCACGCGTTCAGAATTGCCTTGGCGCGCCAGCAGTTCAAGGCAGATGTGCAAACAAGCCATGGCAATTATGGCTCAAGGCGTTTTGGGCCAGGGCTCCCAGGCGCAAGCAGCTGAAGGCCGACGCGGGCCTCTTCCTCGCCCCGCCCGAGCCCGGGCGGCGCGGTCGCTCCTCCTCTCTCCTCGGCCCCAGGGGCGAATGGCTTCGCGGCCCGCGGCGGTTGCGACCGGGCGCGGCGCCGCGAGCTGGGCGGGGGGCTCAGCGCGCCAGGAGCAGCGCTCCTCGCCCGCGTCGGCCAAGGCCGAGGCGCTGGCTGCGCTGGGAACGCCGATGGTGCCCGGCGCCGCGCTCGAGAAGGGCGCGCCCCAGAGGGGGCAGGGCGCGACGAAGAGCGCGGAGCCCACGGGGGCGGCGCAGGACAGCCAGAAAATGACCGAGAGCGAATTGAGGTTGAGGATCGCAGAAAAGGAGGCGCTCCCGCGTTCAAGTCTGCGA